TGCCCAAACCTACATTTGCTGTCGTAGCCAAAGACTTTTCTGTGTCATCAGGTCTTTGAGCCCTACCTATCAATTTCCTGGAACTGAGTCAGCAGGAATTTGTCTTACTGTGAAATGTTGTCCTTCCTTATGCCTGAAGATCCCTAGGTACTGAAATCAGTGGGCAGGCAGCAGGGGGCTATGGACCTGAGTCCCTGGGTCTGTAGCTCTGTCAGCTGGGAGCCACCTCTGGGAGGGCTGGGGAAGCAGGAGCTGTGGGTGAGGAGTGAGGGGCACCAGCAGGGCTAGGTGGGCTGTGGGGAGACCTTTCATTTTAAACATGGATTTTGGGTTTTTATCAGAGAATTTGAGACTTTTTATCAGGAAAAACCAGGATCTCTGATTATGGCAAGATACCCATTATTAGCATCAATAACAAAGTCTCTCTCTCTTTTGAAGGACAAGCTAGATAGTATGCCACTAGATATGGAACAATATGGTATGCTTCAAAAACCACTACATGAAAGAAATATGCCATTGTAATAATAATGGAACTTAAGTGGTCCCTAGCTATGATCCTTTTTCCAAACTATGACTGAAGGAAAAATTATCAAAGTAAAATAGGATTTCCTAATACATTAATTTACAATCAATAATGGACAGCTCTCATATAGCATTTGTCATCCAAAGACAACTGAGGAACAGGGAGAGAAGGTGAGTTTTCCAAGGTCATGTAGCCTGCCAGTGGCAAAGCCAAAAATAGAATGACAGGTTTCTTGAGTCCCAAACAAAAGAAAATTAAGTTTGCATTAGTTTGGCTGCACGCGCTGAAGATTACCCAATGCAAGGGAAAGTAGTAAAGCAATCAGAGAGACAGATTTGATTTATTCCATTACCAAAACCTCCTCTGATATGCATCAGTCATCATCAATATGTGGTCTTTAGGACAACCAACTGTTACAGATTTATACACCTAATTGTTATTCACTTAGTAAATGATCACAAAATGATGTTAGCATTTCTTTCTTGTATACAAGCACTCCCAAGTTGCAATCTTCAGGCAGTGCAGTGATAAACCAAGTTACATTACTGTCCCCCTTAGTGTAAGTACATCAGTGCCACTTTCAGGTCAGATCCTAGTCATCTAATCAAGAAAGTGGAATGATGTCATGTGGTCTAATGATTTTATTGCAAGTTTTAATTGTGAAACCATTTGGTGTAACATTTTTAAAGATCCATCCAGACTAAAAGACCTAATCAGCCTTCAAAGATTAACTAATATTAAAATATCTTTTATAGTATTTTAATAGCATTTTACAGAAGGCATGTCAAGGTATTAAAAGGCTAGAGCTCTAGCTGATTGGCATGAGGAAAAATACAAGTACAAAATATTTTGACCTCAGAATTCATTTGCATTGTTATTAGTGCACTATTTACAATAAGGAGCTATGTTTTGGTTTACAACTTTGCGTTGCATATGTCATTTCCCCAATCCTTATCCTTCTGTTTAGGACAAGGTATGTGGGGCTTTCCTATGTGGGGCTTTCCTTTTTATCTTGCCTTAATTGTGGGCATTAAGTCTGGCCTTTGGCTTTATGAGGTATAGGTTGTTGCTCTTTTTAACTCAGTGAAATATTAGTCTAGATCATAGTGAATGGTAATTTATACTTAAGGAGAAGGAAAGGGCAGTTGATAAAAGGGAATAGAAAATTGTGAGTAGCTCAGAGGAGACTTCTAGGAAATAAGTGGTTTTTCTACTTTTTGGTAAAATGATAGTGTCTGTATCAAATGTGCAGAGCTGATAAAGGTAGGAAGCCAAGGGATTCAGGAGACATTCTGTTGCACATTAACAATTATACTAAAGTTAGTAATATTTAGTGGTACCAAATACTCTTACAATTTTTCAAATTTCAATTTTTTTTAACTTTGCCATCATAGTTTGCTCTGAAACTAACTTTTCCATTAAAAAGGTCAACACAAAATTGATTTTTATCAGTCTGAAAATCACCTATTTACTAGTTTGGGACAATTTAATAAGATCTCAAAGAGGGAAAAAGACACTTTTTGTAAGAAAATTGACTGTATTTTGGTTCATGATGCTGGCAAGGTGAATAAGAAAATGTGTATGTGATCAAAGTTCAAAAAGGGTACTTATGCATTGTAAGTGAGTTTTGTCCATTATCAATGAACCAAAATCAATCCTGGGGTGAGTTCTGCAGCAAATGGAGTTAGACCAGTAATGAATTTGTCCTGATATGTTCTAATACACTTACCTATATAAGCTTCATAATGGATAGATAGAATATATTAAGAAGTATCACTTCAAGGATGGATCAAAATCCACTTACTTCCCTTAATATTGACTTTCTTTAAGAGTACCTAAATATAACCCACCAACTAAATAATTCAGTTTTGGGGAAAAAAACTGATAGTGTTTATGCAGCAGACCACAATAACTATTCTTTCACGGTCTGATGGACAAAAAAGAAACTCCCTATACATCTTCTATCTATGAATATATAATACACACAGTATAGGTCATTACTAAATGAGGTTGGCCTCTACCCTATCAGTTTTCCAAGATGAGCTTTACTGACATCAGTGAGAAATGCCTCAATAAATCAATGGCAGGAATAAGCTAACTTTATAGAAGTGAAAGCTTTTCAAGGATATTTTCAAAAGCAGCCCTAATTTTGATTCATTCTGCTTGATTCTCAGACATGGGCTTAAATAAATAACCTTTAAGTCTATTTTAGGCTTTTTCCTTGTTTTTATTCTTAAGAAGGAAATGAACTTGGGGGAAACTCTCATTCAGTCAGTGCTAAAAGCTTTACTTAAACTTCCTAAGGCAAGGAACTTAGACAAGAAGAGCCCATACTGTTACTACTGTGCACCCAGAATGCCTAGCAACTTTGGTGCACTGGGTCTGTAATTAAGCTATACTCTCCAGGTACAGAGAGAGGTGGATTGAGACTAAAGAGAGCCTGGAATCCAACCCAGTCAAAGAACTTTCCTAGAACCAAGGGCCTTGCACAACAAATCAAGGAGCCAGCACCCTATATAAAAGAGCTCAGGTCAGACATTGCTCCTTGCCTTCATTCTGCTTTCCAGTCCCCCAAAGCACCCATGTTCTTGGCTATTACAGCGCTCGCTCACCTCATCTAAATATTGGGTCACTGAACCTCTTCCCAAACAAAGGCTTGGAATCACAGTGCAAGGTCAAGGTCAATCACAGGTCAAGTGCATTTTAAATATATATATTTTTCAATTTTATAGTTGGAAAAAAAAAAACCCAGTGTGTATTATACAAGAGATAAGCCAAAGCTGGAAACTCACACTGAAGCCCTTTGAATGTTTGTGTGGTTTAGGTTTGAATGCTCAGATCAGAAATTGACCCTTAAAGCAGTGATTCTCCACCAGGGTGCCGTGGTACCCTGGGATGCCTTTTGAGATCCTTTCAAGTGTCCTGTGGGGTGACACACAGTGTTAGTACTGCTGGTGTGCAAACATGATTCACAGGATAAATCACAGATATTTTGAATAGGAATCCACAGTGTTAACAACATGCTGATCTGTTATGGTCTTTTTTGGAGTTCTTGGCAACAAAAAAATTGATATATTATTTTTCTGTAGTGAAAGATTGGAGTGAAAACTAAGGATTGCCATTTTCTGAGGGATGCTTTGAGTCCAAAAAGGTTGAGAACCACTGCCAGGACAGGTAATGGTCTGGGGGAGACCCACTTTGGTTCGAATTGGATGGTGCCTGTTGGAGGTCTGGACAAATCAACAGTTGTTCCTAGACCCGTTTTAAATGGTAGAAACCTGCTTTATATAATGAGAACAGGTAGGTGAGCTGGTAAGACTCCTGCCAACTAGGCTGGTAACTTCTGAGAATGTTTAATTTAGGATCCAGGGCAGGTACAATGGTGCAGATGCACCCTGCTTTGATTCCCTGCTCCACCCCACATTTCTATTCAGGCAGCTCTGAGACAAGCAATTGACTTCCTCCCATTATCCTCCCCTTGATTCCTGTTAATCTCCCTCCATCCACTCCACAGGTGTTAATGACCTTTATACTTTTTAATGGTCTTGATTTTCCATTATTCAAACTATCCTGCCTTCTGCAATTTTGCTGTCTGTTGGCCATTCTTGGCAATGTCTTTTTTCTATTTCACAGCCCTGCAGACTGCTTTTAGCTCTAGTTAAAAGCCTTAACTCAGGTGTAGAAATGACTTGACAGTGGAGGCATTGTCAAGAGATCCAGGAAGACTAGATTGTTTTATGAATATGAATAAAAACCAGTGACACTATCTTTTGACTATTTCAGTTATTATTTGCCTAGTTTGTTGCGTTTTTATTGTTATATATAATCTAGCAAATCAGTGCATGTTCCAATATTTATATTAATTTTTGCTTTGATCTTAAATGGAATAACATAGTGCTAGCCCCCTAGCATATTAGTAAAGCTTGTAGCTTCTTTTTAACAGGAGAAAAATATAAAATACGTCTTGTGTTACATGTGATGATATGCCACACCATCTGACCCCCGCCCCCTTTTTCTTTCCAGAATCCTGGATCTGCCTATGCAATGGCTCATAAGATTTCTGGGCCATGGAGCACAAGTCTAGCCTTTATTCAGTATGTCTCAGTGCAGCCCTTTACCAGATTCAAAGGTAACTTCCGTGTCTTCGATTATCTGAATGGAGCTCTTGTGTTTTATAGGTAAAGGGGAAACCCTACAGAAAGGCAGGGCATATACAGGTACAGAACAATAGGCTGTGGGAAGGAAGTTGGTGCAGTTACCCTGTAAGTGCTTCCCTAAAGCATGGAAACGAGGGGTCCTCCAAGGAACATGTGCAGACCGCATGACTTTTGCCAGCCCTCCCGAACGGACAGAGCCCGTGCTGGCTGGCACAGACTTTCTTTCCCCAAGGCAGCGTCCGAGTCCGTGACAGGTGGGCTAACACCAATCCCTCCTCCGGCTCCGCGCCTCGCCACAACCCCGGGGAGAGGTGACATACCCACTTTCAGCTCTTTTCCAAACACAGTCCGTTCTCCCAGGGCGGAGCAGTTCCAGCGCCCGTTTCGGAACTGGAATTGACACTCGTTGATTCCCATTTGCGACCCTTCTCCGATCACGATGATGGCATCGGGTCTGCTCTGGCAGATCGCCCTCTGTCTCGGAGCGAGCCCCGGGATCTTGTTACAGATGATGCTGGCCCCCAGAGCCACCACCGAGGAGAACCCCCTGCAAGGAGAAGAAGCGGGGAGTGGACGGGCGGCCGGAGGGGCGCGAGGAGCTGGCCGCCGCGTCCTCGCCGCCCAGCGCCTTCGCTGCCTGCCGAGCGCTGCGCGGGC